CTGAAATATTTTTTTTTCTTAAAATTGTCCTACTTTTTTCAATTAAATTGTCTTAATTTTTTCATTCTTTGTTGATGAGAGTCCTGCAATACACTTAAGGTGTTTAGTGCCTAACAAATATTTCATATTTGTTAGATACTTAATTTAATAACTCAGAACAATTATTTGTGTTTTAACAATCATTTCTATCTTCAAAAGAAGGGTGTGTTTATGGGTTTGCTATTATCTGCCATCCTGACAGATCATGTGCAAGTTGGCATTTAAGATTTTTGCAAACTTTTACTGTATGACATTCACTTTTTTATCTCTTCTATGTAGATGACAAGATGATCACCTGGGATGATTCACATAATGAGTTGTTGGAGTTTGTGCAGCTGTTTGTTGACTGTTTATCTGTAGATTTCACTGTAGAAGGTGTAAAAGGAAATTACTTGATGTTGGTTCTCAACATAGAGTAATTCCCTTTTAGTCCTTCTCTTAGACAGGAATATCAGTGGACTTATTTTGGTTTTTTACCCCCTTAACTATCCCAATGACCTCATTTCAGATAAAAGGGTACACAATGCAGCCATCACATCTTTGGTATAAAAAGCATTTTTATACTGTTCCACACAAAGCTTAGTGATAGAGAAATTACACACATTTACTCTGTGATTCAGAAACTAGTTTATACTATGGCCAAGTTTAAACATGTTAACTTAGTTTTAAGGGCTTTATTACTTATTTCTTCTAAGATTGACAAAAAGAAGGTTTTTACATGGATATTTATTCTCTTTTTTGGAACGAATTTCATTGCAACTTGCTAGGCTTTTTAAGAAACATAGGTGTATATTGCCTATTATGCCCTTACCTTCATTATGCAAGCTTTTATGTAATGACAAAGATCAGCTTTTTGTACATTGGTTGGGTGTATACAAGATTGCTTCAAAGATGAATGTAACATTATCAACTTTTTATATATAGGGGCTACTGTGAGAGTGTTTTCCAATACACTGGCAGAACATCAGGATGACATTTCACATAAAAGAAATTGTTAAAAGTGTTTAAGATTACGACTATGAATCCTTATGGTCAAAGATATCTTTAATACATCAACAAATGGACTGCAGTGTGTTGTTTATTTGGGAAACTCTATATTTTGTCCAATGAAAAATACAGCAAACTCTAGAGCTACCTGGTTTTTGTGTTTCACTCTTAAAGGAAGTGAGGGCTGAACAAATAATAACCCAACTGTAGCACATTCTTCACGTTGTAATTATATTTTTGTTCATATAATTGATTGTTTTATTTTTAAATTTTTAAAATATCTACTTTATTTAAAAGCTTGTTTGATGTTTAGTTTTTCTTTCAAATTGAATTTTTTTATATTCTGTGTTCTAATTGAACTTCAGTTTGCCTGAATGAAGATGATGATACATCATTGAAATTACTAGTATTTTTGTTGTTAATAAATATTTTAAAATCAAAAAGACAGTTTGTGTAATTCTGCATATTGAGTTCAGGAAATTCTTCCAAATTGAATTAGTGTGTAATAATTGTAAAATTAGTGTGTAATAATTGTTTATATATGAAATATTTTATAATAATTAAATCATTAAATGCTGGATTATTTAAGCTTCATTTTGGCTAACTATGAACAATTAATATAAAATAATTTGTACTAAAGATAGATTGGTAAGATTCAAATGTAAGATTTGGCAAAAAAAATTTTATAAATCTAAAGAGATTTCAATAAATATTATAACATATAGGTTTTCCAGGTTGGTTTATATGTGGGCTAACAACCCCACCATATAAAAAAAAAATAGAATGGTTACGAAACAGTCACAAGAAAACAACCAGACATCTTTTAAAGGGAATCAACAATGGAACTGGAAAAATGGACTGAACTTAGGAACCTGGAATGTAAGAAGCCTTTATAGAGCAGGAACACTTAAGGAGGTAATAGGAGAACTACAGAGATATAAGATGGATATCACAGCCATCCAAGAAGCACAGTGAGTGGGGACGACATAATCATATTGAAGAACATGATGTTCCTATATGAAGGAAATACTAGACATGAACTGGGTACTGGTTTCATTGTAGCTAAGCATATATGGGACTCGATCTTGGCATTTGAATGCATTTCTGTGAGGATTTCCAAGTGCAGAATGAGAGGCTGATGGTTCAATATCACATATCACATTGGTCGACGCCCATGGTCCCACATAAGTCGGTGACAGAGGAAACAAAGACAAATTCTTTGAGGAGCTGGAGATCACAATGGCAGGGGTTCCAATGCATGACATAGTGGTGCTTCTTGGGGACCTTAATGCTAAAATAGGCAAAGAATGGTGCTTCCAACCCACCATAGGAAAGGAGGGCCTGCATTAGACAACCAATGATAATGGAGCACAACTTATCAACTTAGCCAATGCTAGAGATCTGCTAATCTATAGTACTAATTTCCCTAGAAAAAACATTCATAAACAAACATGGATATCCCCAAATGGCAAAACTAGGAACCAAATAGATCATATACTCATTAACCAGAGACATCGTAATAGCATAAAAAACATAGTCTCAGAGGAGCAGAAGCAGGAACAGACCACTTCCTTCTGAGAGCCAGCATGAAAATGAAACTCCAAGTAATGACAAAGGACAAGCAAAACCATCATTTTTCATATGATGTACATAAACTCAAAGCCAATGACACCAGGCGACAATACCAGGAAGAAATAGGAAAGGCTCTAGAATTGAATACGATGAAAGAGATGGAAATGGACCAAGTCTGGAAAGCAATGCACACATTCATCTTAGAAATAGCCATAAAAACCTTACCTAGAGAATACAGACGAAGGAAACCATGCTTTAACAGCATATGTGAAGAAGTGGTAAATCAAAACACAAAAGCAAGAATGAATTGGCTGGACAACCCAAAAGATCTACACATCAAAAACCAATATGGTGAGGCATCAAAACATTCTAAGAAGATTATTAGACAACAGAAAAGGAAATTTCTCACAGATTTGATTGAAGAAGCAGAGAATAATCATAAGAAGCAGGAAGTGAGAGATTTCTTCAGAGACATTAAGACATTATACAACACACATTGACCAAAACTCCTGATCATTAAGGATGCATGTGGGAGGCTGTTAGCCAATGAACAGGAGGTTTCCAAAAGATGGAAAGAATATTTCCAGGATCTTCTGAACTGTCCAGACCCCACGACTCTAGCCACATTCCTCCCAAAACCACACTGTTCAACCAGAAATTAAAGAACCTACTCAGAGTGAAGTTCAGGTCATCATACAAAATCTACATAATCACAAAGCTACAGGGACTGACAATGTCAAATCTGAGCTCATCAAATATGGTGGACAGCAGCTTGCAAAGACAATGCATAATCTGATTCTGCAGATCTGGAGACAGGAAAGAATGCCAATGGAATGGAAGGAAGCAGGCATAATCCCCATCCATAAGAAAGGAAATAAAATGGAGTGTAAAAACTATAGGGGGATCTCCCTACTCCAGGTGACATACAAGATCCTGTCATCTCTAGTTATGAGGAGATTGACTCCATAATACATGGAGGGAATTGTGGGTGAATATCAAATTAGTTTCCGAAAAAATAGAGCCACAATCGATCAAATCTTTGCATTAAGAGAGGCTCTTGAGAAGAACTGGGAATACAATGTCGACACACACCTGTTCATTGTTTTTCAAAAGGTGTATGACAGCATTCACAGGCAATCAGTGTGGAAGGCCATGAAGGAGTTTGAGATACCAGACAAACTCTCCAGAATTGTGGAAATTTGCATGTATGAGGTGTGGTATACAGTAAAAACCAGGGCCACAAGGTCGGACAGTTTTCACAGCAAAACAGGACTGAAGCAGGGAGATGACCTGTCTCCTCTTCTCTTTAACATTGCTCTAGAAAAAGTTGTCAGAATGGCCCAGGAGATAGACAATAAAAGGGAAAATGACTCAAGAGACAAACTGTCACTACTAGCATATGCAGATGACATTGTCATAATTGGAGCATCTCAAGGAGAGGTGACAAGATTAACATCAAAATTAGCAACAGCTGCCAAGACAATGCATAATCTGATTCTGCAGATCTGGAGACAGGAAAGAATGCCAATGGAGTTTGATCATCAATGAAGAGAAGACTAAATACATGATTATTTCAAAAAAGGGAGAATCCCACAAAGAACATCTAACCGTAGACAATATGACATTCAGCACTACGGAATCCTTTAAGTACTTAGGGACTGACAAAAACAGAAACAATGACATCAAGAAGGAGATAGGGACATGCTTACTACAGAGAAACAAAATCTACTTTGGACTCACAAACATACTAAAAAGCAGACTCCTTAGTAAAAGGACAAAGCTAACTGTATATGAGTCACTGATTATAGACCTCTGTATGGATGTGAAACATGGCAATGACAAAGCAGGAGGAACTACAACTATAGAGATTTGAAAACAAAATACTAAAGAAAATCTTCAGACCTGTGAAAGACTATGATGAAAATGGTATCATCGTCAATGGAGAACCAATATGGAGAAAAAGAACAAACCAGGAACTGAAGACAACCTACAGCAAGCCTATGATTACACAGGTGATTAAAGCCAGAAGATTATAGGGCCTAGGCCATGTCGTAAGGCTTTCTATAATAGCAACAGCTTCACGACTGCTTCACTATGAGGAGAAAGGGAAGAGGCCAAGAGGCCATCCCAGAAAAGGGTGGATAGATAGGGTTACAGAAGATCTTCAAGACCTCGGAATCGAAGATTGGCAGAGGCAGTCTATAGACTAAACGAGATGGAGAAAGATTGTGACTGCAGCTAAGGACCTCCAAGACCCATAATGCCAGACNTCTTGTAAAGTATTATATTTTAATTAATTAATATAATTTTAAAAAATATTAATGATTAACATTTTGAATGATTGTACTGACATAATTAAAATGTGTTAAAATTTTATTATATCAACTGAAATTATATTTCAGGTAATGGCACAAGGTAAAATTGTACACATAAGTACAATTCCAAAAGGACAGTTACTACAGAGACAATTGGAATTTCCTGTTACTGCAGATATGTCTCCTGTTTTGAGAGTTGTTGTATTTTCTTTACACGAAAATGAACTAGTAGTTGATTCTCTTCGAGTTTTAGTAGAAAACCAATGCTCTCGTTTTTCTGAAGTAAGAATATAAATTTTTAAACATTTGGTATTCAAAATTCAGTTGATTAATGAATATAATTGAATACAGTACTAATTAAAAGAAATTACTTTTCCTCATTATGGAAGTTGTATAGCTTTACAGTTGCAGATTTATATTTTTATATAATAAAATGTCTTATTTTAAATCTTAATGGTTTAGTTATTCTAAAAATATTATTTTAGAATCACTACAGTGTACAAGAGTACTGATATATCTCAGTACTCTTGTACTGTACACTGTAGTCTCACGTTATTATTGTGTTTTTACCACTGAGGAGGAACTGTTAGATAATACAGTTTGAAATACATAATTTGGGTTGGCCAGGCCTGATTTAAATAATACTGTAATTCTAAATCAGTTTGGCCTAGGACAAACTAATTAAGCCTAAAGTATTTAGGTGAAACTAGATTGTGCTAGGCTAAACTAGTATATCCTGACATGCATAGGATAAACTAGTTCGGCCTGAAATCGGGTTTGGCCGGTAACATACGAGGGTAGGCTGAAAAGTAATGCACACATGCTTGTAGAGCGCAAATGAAATGATTTTCAGAAGTGTGTTAGGTGGCATATGGAAGTAACATTCCCCCTCTATGCGTATGTGCAGTTTGAGGTTGTTGCATTCATTCAGTATATTTTGAGAAGTGGAAATATGGAGACTTGTTTTAGTGCTATGTCAATGCGAGTTAAACAGCGTGCTGTTATCAAATTTTTAACTGCTGAAAAAGTGACTCCTAGTGAGATTCATCGTTGTTTAAAGGCTGTTTATGGTGAAAACGCTGTTGATAGGTCTACTGTAAATCGATGGATAATAAAATTTTGTGGTTGTGAGCCTGGAAAAGTCATAATTGTTGATGAAACATGCAGTGGACATCCGATCACTGCCACAGACAATTACCATTGCCTCTTGTTGCAATGTTTAATTCTTCTCAGTACATACAGACTCTAAAACACCTCCGACGTTGAATTTGTCATGTTAGAGGCAGCCTGGTGCCAATAATCTTGCAACATGACAACGCTCGTCCACACCCTCCTTATTCCCCCAATTTTGCGCCTTGCAATTTTTTTTTTTTTTCTACTCGAGGTGATCATTACACCTCGGATGATGAGGTGAAGGCAGCTGTCGCGTCCTGGATTTGAGAAAAGTCAGAAGAATTTTTCAGTGATGGAATGAAAAAACTTGTTACACATTGGGAGAAATGTGTTAGCCTTAATGGTGACTATGTTGAAAAATAAATATATGATTTTGAAGCTTAAGAATTGTACTTTAATGTACTTTTTGCCCTATCTTGCTATTTGTTTTTGTTCGAGCATGTGTGCATTACTTTTCAGCCTACCCATGTATATATGTATTATATCATTAAATCTGAAGTTATAATATCTAAGGGTAATAGAAGGGTTTCTATGCAAGCATAGAAAATTTTTATACAAATTAATTCTTTTGATATTGCCAGATATAATAGATTCACTTTAAAGTGACATTTAGGAGACTTGTCAAAATGAATGTTATATTGAATTTTCTAAATATTTTATGATTTTGTTGGGAAGATTCATAAGAAAAAAACTTTAAGTTAAAAAACCTAGCTTTTAAAATTACATTATTTAAAATTATTTTAAAACTTAATTAAAGAATAAAGAAAAAAAATATTGTAATAAATTTATTTTTAATTAATAATTAAATGACAGTTGAATTAGAAAAACAAAAATTAAACAATCAATTAAATGAAGATTGCTAAGTCCAATAAATGTAATTTTGATTAAAAAATCGTTTTTAAATATTAAAGCATATTTTCATGTAAGAGAACAGTTTGTTTTTACTTCCATATTTATTGATTCAATGTTTGAAATGTTGATTCTGAATATTTACATTGGTGATAAGCAACCTTTTCTGATGCATGTCATAGGTGAGCTTTGTAGGGTTGCAATGGGTCACATAGAGTTTTTCTTATTGGCTTTAATCTTGTTGAGTACTAATATACTTCATAACAGTTATGAAGTATGTTAGTATTCAGTAAGTATATGTTATTTTAGTAGGTTCTAAAATAATATATGCCAGTGACTTACAAACTAGTAATATATAGTTTACTTTCATCTTTTCACTGGTCAAGTTTCAATGTTCTTTGTCATAAATATCAGCTTATTTAGAGTTGCATAATGGCACAAGGAAGATGGCAGAAAAATAAAATTATAGTGTCAAAGCTCTTGGGTCACATATTAGGATCTTGTGGGCCATAGATTGCTCATTACTGATTTACATGGTAATTGTATTGATAGTAAAATAGCATTAGACTTCATCAAACCCTAGTGATTCAAATACAAACAAAGAATATACCTGAACAGTGTTAAACTGAAATTACACAAGTAAAATGTAAATTGAGGGTTAGATATACAGTAGAGCCTCGATTATCCGACCCCTGATTAGCCGACACCTCGGTTAACCAACCATCCTAGTCGGCAAATTTCAAATGTCTGCTAGTGATGTGGCGCTACAATATTTGGCTATGTCTTGGCTACTTTAATATTATTTTTACGTGTTTTAGCTAGCAACACTCATTCCACCATGAAAGGGAGCCAGTATTTAAACAAGGCTTAATTTTCCAATTTTTAACGATACAATAGCGACGATTATTATTTTTAAAAATTTTTGTTAGGCTTAACATCGATGAAAATTCAACGCGAAGTAGGTTAATAGTGATATACTAATTANTAACCACAACTTGTGGTTAACATAATTGGATGTGTCCAGTGTAGTGGTCAATTCGGCCACTATGAAAAGTCTGATGGTTCCAATCAATTGTTCTAATTGTTGAATCATATTCACCATTCATGTAGGTCGAAGACATACTGCTGTCCATCAACTCGATGGCTTCTACAATGATCTTCTATTGTCGTTGTATTCCAAGAAGTTTCCGGAGTTGTTTCACGTAGCTTGGGCAGTGCTTATCCATTGAGTTGTGATTTACCTCTGTTAGACTGTTTCTTACACAATTTATGCATGTTGCTGGCCCCTCTTTGACGCAATCTTTATAGATGTGAGCACCGTTACAGTGACTACACACCTGTTCCTTTTCTTGGCATTCTTTCGCAAAATGTCCGAAGTTCAAACACTTAAAGCATCGTATCACTGTTATGTGGTCGTAAACTGTGCACCTAACCCATCCTATGTACAATTTTTCTTCGTTTATTAAAATTTCTCTGATCATGGGTGAAACCTCCATTATCCAAGTCTGTAGTGTCGAGTCTTTTTGAGGAATTGAGTATTTTATTTTTATCTGCTTCTCTACAAATGTTTCAGATAAGTTCTCTGATAAGCACATGTTTTGTTCGTACATTTTATGTACGAGCTCCTCTTTTTCAATATCCTTTGGGACGGAGACTATTTTTATAGTTGGCAGTTTTTTCTTCCTCTCAACCGTTTCCAATTCTTTAATCTTATCTAATTCTTTTTTCAATGTTGTCATATCTTCTGAACTTGTTAATTCCACTACCACCCCTCCATCTTTAATCATTCTCATCTGTTTGACACCAATATTTATATCTGTAGGGTTGACATTTTTAACCATTATCTTTTTGATTTCTTCAGATGTTTTCTTCTTATTTTTACTATGAACCAATATTGAGTAACGGGGTGTTGGCGTAGGAAGAGCAATATCTGCTTTGTTTTCTCCCCAATTTAAGTATTTCGCTGTAACTTGTATTTTGTGTTTGCGCACTAATCGGTTTAGAGTAGCTCTTATTTAATTCTGTTATATCCCCTTGCACTGTCGTTATTGCATCTATAGTTTTCTTTGTATTCTCTGTAATTAACTGTTCTAGTTCTCTTTTTATATCAGACCTCTCCTCCTCTTCACTTTTCCCCGTTTCTTTCATTTTTCTAATTTCTCTAATTTCCTCTCTTAATTGTTCAACCATCTGAAGTGTTTTTTCATTATTTTGCTGTACAATTTCTTTTATTTCCTCTTTTAGATTCCCTAGGGAATCTCTATCCAACCTTGTTGTTGATCCTATCTCTATAATCTTTATCTCTGCTAATTTAACTATTTTCTGTATGGAATTCATTATTATATTATAATGATCAGGAGTTGACATCCTGCCATTTCTATTATCTTCGATGTAATCTTGTAATTCTTCTATAATATTACTTGTGTCTTTGTTAAATTCTTTTATCAAATCCTTCCTTTTTTCATCCATAATTTTAATTAAAACACTTATTTTAATTTATCTTATTAAATAAAGAGATAATTTATTTTATCCAAGTCACTTCCTGTTTACTTTTAATATCGCCAGATGGTCTGGCAAATAGCAACAGGTGTTCCGGTCAATCACCGTTGCTATAGTAACGGCCGTTATAAAAATCGTTATTTAAAGTACAGTGGTGGAAAAGCTGATTTTTTNCTCCACAGGAAAAAGACATATTCAACAACAAGGACCTCTTGCGTCATCTCACCAAATTCATCAAAAACACCGGGAAACTAGCAATCCCATCGCAGAGCAGTGAACAATCTCAGACCAGGAATAACCTACCTGTTGTTGAGGACAATACAAGCGAGGACATCAGTGATGAAAGTTTCACCAATAGCGAAGAGGATCTCTGAAACGAACTGACCACCATGTAGTTAATGTTTCTCTGTTAGACGATTGTAACCATCTGTTCCTATAAATGTATCAGGACCAATTACTATGTAAATTCTGTAATCTGTATTAGGCAATGTTAGCCAATTTTTATATCTATTTCTGTTTTACTTTTTAATAAATGCAGTGCCGCAGCCCATGGATCCCCACCCTTGCCTTCCTTCCCCTCCCCTTTTTAATCTAGTTACTTTCACTTTTCTTCTCACTTCTTTTCCTCACTATAGGGCTAAGTTTGTCTTGAACAGACAGCTCTCTACTTAACTTTATACTTATCTTATCTTTTGAGCTGGTTAGGTCCCCTCCATATTATTCTCTTCATCAGAAATATCAGAACTCACTCATGGATTGAGTCTCCGATCTCT